GTCGGAGAAGCTTGGCCCTTCTGTGAAGGAACCTTTTGGGGAGGAGGTCGCCCCTTCCCTCCTCTACTCCTGCGCTGGCAGTGGCTTGTGCCCATCAACGAGGCAGGGGGCAGTCCCAGCTAGAGCCAGCTGCTGACAGCATGAGTCTGTGGGAAGAGCCCCTTTTGCCCCTTCCCCTTCTTGGGGCGGGCGGGGAGATCTCTGTTTTGGCTTCTCCCATGTACTGAGGCCTCACGTGGCAACCACCAGAGCCATAAAACACCCCCTGCTGGCCAACAGGGAGCAACTGCAGGCTCTACTCTGCCAGTGATCCAACAGCGCCCCCCGCCGATCGGGGTTAAAATTGCTCCAAAAGGCAGAAAGTACTGAATTGTTTTTTGGTAGGGAACTTTGGGTGCAGGATTATTCTTTAGGTTTTTTTATGTTCTTTTGTTGTTCTGCCCATACGCATATAGCCTTTAATAAAGGACCGTTCTCTTTTTTTTTTCTCCATACTTCCTCAATTGGAGCTTCATAATTTCAGATTTACAGTTGCTTGGAGGGAGGAGCTTGGTCTTCCTCATAACTCATCCTCCTTAGCAAAACATTTCAGTCTCATTAAACTGAGGCAATATTCTATGTAGTATCTTTGTGTTAGAGCAGGTCAGGTGAGATTTAATATTGTATTTCTTTCCACTTGGGCTGTGAAGAGAGCTCTTGCTCTTGTTTGGCTGGGGTTTTTTTTTAATTCTTGTGTTTTTTTTCCCCTCTTTCTTGGATAGTAAAAAATATTTTCAATATTTTCTGTAATTGCTTTCTGTATATCTGCAAGATATGTACCATGCAAATCTAAAGTTAAAGACACTTTTTAAAAGATTCTTAAGAAAATAAAAAATACTGCAGTGACAAATGTGTAAATGCTGAAAATAAACAGTATTCTGAAAGCACTCTGACAACTTTTTTTACATTTGCAGTGCTAAGATGCATAGCAAAACATACCAGTGCTTGGCAAGGTGCTTGTGAACAAAAGGATATGGAAAAATCTTTACAAATCTTTTTAACTGACTGAATAATTTGGACAGTGGAATGATTTGGACATGAGGTTGGCAGACCCAACCAAATAGTTTCAAAAAGTGAACTTCTTAAAGTCAATGCAATCCTGATACGTCTTCCTTGTTCATAACAGTTTGGTGTTCATGGCCTTCTCTCACACTTCCTTTATGGGAAGAGAGCTATGCTGAAAGAATAAAAGACACTCACTTTTCCTCAGAGGAACAAACACAGAAATTGCATTGGTGACAGGGCATTATAATGCTGTACATTTTGAAAAGGGGTAAGACCAATAGGCTGAGAAAAGAGAGACGCAAGATGGTGTGTGTAGCCTGGTCTCGTGTGCTGACAGCAAGGGAAGGGGAGGGCCGTCACAGCCTGCCTAAGATCTTATAGGAAAAGACAGACCCACAGCATACTTTTCTTATAAGTACAGGTCAAAAACCAGAATCTGTCCTAGAAAAGTGGTTATCAAGGGGTATGAAAATAAGGGAGTGAAGATTATTCAAAATTACATCAGCTTCCAAAACTCTGTAGTGAACTGTTGCATCAGAATTCACATGAACAGAAATTAACCCACCCATGGCTTATAGTTGCTTGTTTATTTGGAGACTTGTTTTTCTAAGGAAGGCGTTTCAAACTTTGACAACTGATGAGGTCCTCCTCTGCAAATCTCTTTCATTGTCTTTGGTAATTACAGATAAAGGCAACTGTGGCATGAGGTTGCTATTCTTGTTGGTATGGATTATTGAAGGGCTTCTAACTCCTTCTGAGCACAAATACACATCTACTTGAGACCTTTGGGAGGGGACTTGAACTAAGTCCTTCTACAAACTGGAGCCTGGAGAAATAAAAACCAGGGGTTTGAGTTGTTTAGATTAAGAGAAGTGAGTATTTTAATATCTTAAACTTTGTTAACCTCTTTCAGAAACTTTGTTTGAAACAAGTGACTAAATTTAAGGAATGAAACATGATTCCCAACAGCTTACTTTTCTTTCATATTCACTTGATCATAATTCACTGTCAGGCCAAATCCTCAGCTACCCTTTTCTGCTGAAAAATCTCCCACAGTGTAGATAACAGAGAAGGGTAGAAGTACCCCTCTCTGCTCCCATTCTTTCTGTGCTCTCCAAGATGAACTTACGATTTTAGTTGACTTCTGAGTTTTCCTACTGGCAGTGTATATGCCCTGTTGATATGAGTTCTGATTTATACCCTGCAGAGATCAGAGAATACATGGTGAGTGTATCTCACAACATGGTCTCACTAATCTACCATGGTCTTTCCTTGCATAGTAGATGCTCAGTGCTTTGGAATTCTGCAAAGCATCCATGCTGAGATATGCATGCAAATCCCATGATTTTGTATCCAAAAGTAGATACTTACACTTAGGAGAATCTGGAATACTGTCCTGAATCAGCGTAGATCTGAAATGCAAACTACTCTGCAAATCTTTTGTGAAAATATGTCATCTCAGGCTGAAAACCTGCTTTGGTTGATGATGATAACTGGGAAACTAATGAGCTTAAATAACCAAACTCCAAAGTTTGGTCTTGCAGAGGGACAGGGGGAATTTTGTAAGGGTGGTTCCTAGTGCTCATGAATCATCACAGGACTAGCTGCATCCAGAATTACACATTCTATCTAAGCATCCCTCGCCATTAGCCAAAGGAGCAAAAATGGAAGGAAAAACCTGAATGGTTTTTTGGTATATACCTAATAATAATACCTGTTCTTTTCCTTAAGGCAACGAATAAGTGAAAAATAAGTTTTTAATTTCAAAATTGATAATACTAAGAAACCATGAGAAGAAGAAGAAACTGAGAGGCAGCTGGTAGAAAGGAAGTTTAAATTTCCCTGTCAGATCAGTGGTTTAAGGTTAATAAATTACAGTAATTGAAACTGAGGTAACAACAGTTCTGTGTGAAGCAGACTACTGTCTGTCAGGTTTTGTGGCATTTCTGAGAGATAGGTGGAGCATGTGTCAAGCTTGACAAGTTATTCAGTATGGTATACAAGGTTGGTTCTAGATCTGCCTGCACACTGCATAATATACTTTTTTATTTGCTACCTTTCATTAGCAAAATGCCTCTATTGAATGGAATATAAGCAGGTTTTCACACTACCTTTAGAAACTTGTCTTTTTTGCTTAGGAATGACTGGGGTAGTGGTGGTGAGCGCAGGGCGTCACTTGGGTGTTTGGTTGTTGTTGTTGTTTGTAGTTTGTAGCTTATTGTGAATAAAATTTTTATTATTGTACTGCCAAAACTAATTTTTTCTAGTGCTACTCTGTGCACACTTTTCACTTCTGTGCATACTTGCAATGATAAAAATTTACTTGAATTAGTTATATTTTATAAATAATATATATATTTATATTACATATTATATATATTAGTTATATATATGTTTTAATAGTTTGGGGTTTTTTAATGCCAAATGCTACATAACGGAATGTGTTGCCTTTCTACTCAGATTTCTTCTAAAAATTTTATGAGGTTTATTTACTTTTTTGTCTTCTCCTATGATCATTTAGACCACTGTGGTACATTTGCAAAATTCTGTTTTGCCCTGATTTTATATTGACATAGGTGTAAATGACTACTGCAAGAATTTCACAATTAAGTCTTCTGGATAATGGAGACAGAAAGGATGACTTCAGTAACTTAAAGGAAACCTGTTCTGTTTATTTTAGAGTTAACTCAGTATGGAAAAAGTTTCTCTGTTAAAAAAAAAAATAGAGGGGGGAAAAGACTGAAGCAGATGCTGTCCTTTCCCTTGGATAGTTCAAAATGGTTTGGATTTAAAATTTCAGGCTTGGCAGGAATTTAGTCCTGAAAGAATGTGTACTTGTTAAGTCCTGGCCAAAAAAAAAGATAGAGGGGGGGTGTGTGGGGAGAAAAGTTGTGAAATTAAGAAATTAAAACTGTTAGGAATTCTATTCTTTTGAAGAATAAATTTTAGAAGCCAAACCCTGCATTCTGATTTGTACTGAGGACCACCACACGATACTGTCTGAACTAATAAAACACACGGAACATCACCTAAGGTCAGATACTCAGAATACAAACTGCTGAGTGCTAAGAAGGTATCTGGCTATTGACCTTTCTTTTGGGAGCACAGCCAGCATCAGGGCTGGTATGGGTCTCCTGTGGGAGAAGAGGATGAGAGCCATGGAGAGCACATCAGGATACATGCTCTCCTTGACCTTGCTGGGCCCAATTGCTCTTTGGATGTTTTTCTGCAGCAGGGTTCTGGGAGTAGTGAGGGGCTAGTGAATTGAGCGGAAGTTTTATGCTCTCCTTCTCCCCTTATATCAACTTGTGCTGTAAAAGTGCTGTCACACTAGCCAGAGAGTTGGTTCAGATTAAGATATTTTTTACTGTAAGGGTGGTGAGGCACTGGAACAGGTTGTCAGGAGAAGCTGTAGATGTCCATCCCTTGAACTGTACAAGGTCGGGTTAGATTGGGCTCTGAGCAACCTGGCCTAGTGAGAGGTGATGATTCTATAGTTTCACACTGCCACAGAGATAGTTCCTTCCTCCCATTGCCCAGTTGTTCCCTGGCAGATAAAGCCTGTCTGCTCAGGCTGTGTCAGTGCTCAGGTGTGTGCCCAGATAGGTGCAGAGCTGTGCCCTTGTGAAATCATTATGAATTGCAGGGAGACACAAGACATTATTAATGTAATTCAGATGTTGCCTTACATGTTGTATTCTGACCTCCAACCTTATTTATAAGCTGATGATACATTCTAGAAGGTAATTTTTAAACCAAAGGTAGGAAACTAGGGAGTTGTAGAATTCATACCTCAATAGGGTCAGAGAGCCCTTTACTTTGGGGAAGAGAGTTGGTGGGGGAGTAGGTGATTAAAGATATGTGTGGGAAAGATACTGACATGGTAAATATTATGTGTTTGCTTTGTATATTTATCTATTAATGGGTTTGGGTTTGTTTTTAATCTTTGGACACAGGACCTGTGAAGGACGAAACATCCGGTACAGGACATGCAGCAATGTGGTAAGTGAAGTGTAGCTTTGGTATGATACAAATCATCACATATGACAATCACATCCATATTACAGCAAATAATTTGGTAACGTGATAGTGAGAATATTTTAATTATCTAAATTGCCTTTTTATCACAGACCACAGTTGGTTTCTTGAAAAGTACAGAGATTATGGCCTGATGCTAAAACTATTTGGAAGGGGTTGCAGTCACAACCATCCCGAATAAAGTGTCAGTGGAACTTCGGAGTTGCTATTTACAACCTCCCTGACAGAACCAAGACCACTTGTGTTCACAGTACTATTTTGATAACCAGCTGGTTCACATTGGGTAGTCTGTCACACTGCAGGATTAAGATGTTAAGAGTTGAAGACAAATTAGTAGGAGATATGTGATTCTATGATTCTGTATGTTTCTGTTCACATGTGCCCTCACTGCATTGTAATTCTATTGCATGTCTTAGATTAACTGTTTTACGTCGACTGTACCAATGTTCTGGCATTTTCAAAGGCTCTTGCTTGGCTTTTTTGACATGTGGCAAATAAAGTTTTCGAAACAATAAAATAAGAAACTTCAACTTCTGTCTTAACAAAGTGAAAGTGTGTTTTCACTGGTGAAAATAGAAAAAGAGACTTTCATATGGAAAGTTTTATTGAGTGCCAAGAATAGTAAAGAGTCTCAAGTTACATGGAGAAATGTCAGTTTTACCAGTAAGGATGGAAAATGAAATCAAACATACACTGGGCCAAGCTTTCTCATGCCTGATAGGGTCATATTCAGAAGCTGTTCAATAGGACCTTTGTTTTAAAAAGTTTAAGAGTTTAAGTTAAAAAAATTAATATGTTCGCTCATATTTAGCTTATCTTTTTTTCAACAGACCCCAGTTCATAATTAAAGAAACTGCTGCTATCTGAGTTGTGTTCTCCCACGCAGTAAGATTTCTGTCAGTTCTTAACGAGTTGAACTTTGATAATCCTTGTGGGTCTCTTCCAAGTCAGAATATTCTCTGACTGTCTGAGTCCTCTGAAATTTGTTCTGAGTGTATCCTTTGGGTTCCTGAAGTGTCTCATCAGTCTAACCTTCAGCTTCCCTGACAACATCTGCAGTAGTTAATAGGTAGGTCTGCTGGCAGATTAGCAGTCCAATTTTCATCTAAGGAACTTAGGCTACATCACAACTGTGTAGGGAATGGGAAGGTTGTTTTTTGTATTAGTCAAGCTGCATGCCAAAGCTCTGTGGTATGACACAGAAAGAAAAAAAAAGGTATACTGTTAAAAGCTAATTGGGCTACAATTAAACCCATTGGTTTTCTTTTGGTTATGTGTTCGTGCACATTGTGACAGTCCCTTTCTGTGTCTGGCCTGCCCTGTGTATGTTAAGAACAGTGAGACAAACTAGCTTCGTGATCTGCTGCCATTATCTGTTCCTGGGTCACCTTGATGAGAGGCTGGGGTTTTAACTAGGTTGCAACCTGTGTTTTGGAATCATGCAGTTTAACTTTCCAAGATAAGGAATATTGGTTTTAATATTATTTTTAGCTTAGGTTCTGCTCTGCAAATGTGCACCTGAACAGTTTTCCTTCAAAATAAAACCTTGCATAGTTTTGTCAGGCATACCTTGTATTTGGCAATACTGGCTCCAGAATTTCCAACATAACAGTGAGGCATGCAGCTGCAGAACTCACTTAATTATTTTATATCAAATAAACAAAAACAAAACTTTCAAACTTTCACCTTTACTAGGCTGAAGTCAGTGACAGTTTTGCCACTGAAATATGAAAGCCCAGGACTGGATTTATGATTTCAAACCATTTTTGGGAGAGGTTAAAGAATGGCTTGTGCTACATTGCTCTTGTTCTTAATAAAAGGATTAAAGGAGCGTTCATTTGCTTTATTTTTGTAAACTTGCAAAATTAGCAATAAATCAAACCATTGTCAAGCTTCTGACTGCATTGTGCTTTGACCAGGCCTTCCAAATACAGCTTTATGTCACAAAGAAAGCACTTGGCTGTATTCATTTTGCAGACATTTGATTTTGGGGGGACAGTATTTTCTATTTTTAAAGCATGTTGAGTCTTTCTTTGATTCTTTGTAAGGCCCTTCCATTTACAGTCTTTCCTAATCCCGGGTACTGTCCACCAGTATTCAGAACATCAGGCGTTGAGACCATGATCAGCATCAGAACATGTGGTACAGCCGTGGTAGTCCACAGCCACATTTATCTGGGGCTGGGAACTTGAAAATACCTTGTGCTGCACCAATGTAAATCTAAAGCAGTGTGAGAACCCCAGACTTGAATTTCTGTTCTAAAATTCATTCTATTGCTGCATTGTTTAGCTGTAACACTGAAATAATATTTGTCTCTTTCAGAATAGTTTAAAAAAAAAAAAGTCATATGCTTTGTCTTTAATGAAATTTACTGTTTTGTCTCCAAAATCCAAGGATACATACACACAAAGTGCATCTTGGAAACAATTCATTAACACAATGGCTTGTTGTGGAATTCTGCACTAGAAAAGGCCCATGGTATTTTGTGTGTTTTTGTTAACTCCGTTTTTTCCTGCTAAGATTTCATCCATAAAGGCACTGAAAATCCAGTGGATGGAAGACCTACATTTTCATCTGTTAGATGACAGTCTTTTCTTAAAAGGAAAATGAGAGCAAATACCCCCAGTCTCCCCCTGCAAATGAAGCTATCTATTGTGCATCATTAAAAATTCCCCTGAAATTTCTTTGATTCTTGTGAAAATCAGTGAGTCCTGAAATACAGGTTTCCATTACCATTAGCTTGTGCGTAACTTCAGGAGTTATGTTATTGTTCGTAAAATAACGAGTCTTTTTATTTTTTGCAAGCTGTCTTTCTGTGAACTAACAGAAAGACTATCATGACTGACTTTTATGACTGTGCTCTTGCAGGAAAGAATGGGTAGTCACATATACTAAAAGCAAACTTTTTCAAATGTGAAATTGGAGAATGGGAAGAATACTTCTTGGAGTCTGGCAATGAACACATTTTATAGGCACTATCATTTACAAGATTTTGCTACAGCTGGTTTCAATTCATCCTGAAATTAAATTACAGAGGGGAAAAAGATGAGATAAAGAGAGGCAAGGGGAAAGAGTGGCATGTGTGTTTTTCCACTGACCTATATTAATTATTCCAGGAGTGCTGAACCATTTTGCATAATATAGACTATAAGAGAGATCGATACTACTGTCTGTAAAGCTTTTGAGCAGTCCTTAAAAGAAGAAATCCAGTCCATTATGTTTGTCACTTGCATTGCCTGTTGATGATCATCAACTGGAAAGATTATGGGTATAAAGCCACATGTGTAAACAGTAAAAGAAGGAATGAGAGAATCTGAAGATGATTTAGGGTTGAATTGCATCTGTTTTTTTCTTCTTTCTATTCATACTCACTCAAAGCATGTTTCCAGCCATTTTAGAATATATTCATGGGAGGGAGAGAGTCATTTGTTTTTCTTTAGAAAATTAATCTGACTGTAATGAAAACATGTTTTTGCAGCTATTTGGGTTATTATACTAAACATTAAGCAAAATAAACAAAAATATTTCCAAATTCTGAGTAGGAATTTCTGACTAATTCTTTATTGTTTGTTGTGGTTTTTTTTTTTAAATTTAGCACACTCTTTGTTCCTTCTTCTAAGCACATTCTTAATTGCTGGGTTCTTTTCAGATATTGTACCAGACCATCGTGTTATCTAATTTACCCTTTCTCATTTTCAGTCCTTCTGTCCCTATACTGTGTTTTTCTTTCTCTTCCCTCCATTTACATGAAAATATCTCTGGAAGATATTTGTTGGACTATGTACTGTCTTCATGCCTTCTTTCTTCATTCTTCTCAATTATGAAACTACTTATTGTGATTGAAAACATTTTTATTTTCCCTGGTATTTTTGCACTGCTTTCTAAATCAATCAAAAAAAAAAAGATGCATGAAGCTGACGGTGAAGCTACAGAACATTACTAGGGCTTTCAACAAGGTTTAGAGCAGTTCCATTAAGCCTGGGATAAAATTTGTAGATGGTAGACCCCGTAAATCACAGAACCAAAACTTGTAAACACCACCTGCAACTCTTTTTATATATACCTCTCTTTCTTCACTTGGCTGAACCACCAACTGTAATGACATCCCCCATTTTTTGGCTTGCATTAAGACAATCTACTTCCATCTCTGTTTTTTATCAGCTCATGCTGCATTTTGCATGCAGCACCAGTGATATTGCTTATCTTACTTTCCACAAAATAACACTGTCTTCTTTCCACCCACTAAATCCCAGCCTGTTGTTAAGTGTCAAACCTTAACTTCCATATAAGTGCGTAAGTCTCAGAAGCACTGGCTTATGTGTATGAGAAGCATCATCACCAAGTAGATTTTTTCAGAGCACAAGAATGATTAGGAGGATTTAATTTTTCTACGCAGTGGTGACTAGAAATGCCATGCAAAGTCTTTTGCAATCAAACCTCACAGTTTGCATTTTGCAATAAAACAGTAATTAAAATTATATGCACTACACATATCTCATTACTAACACGTGATTTATTTAATGTTATGTCACTTTTTAAGTGGAAATTCTTCTAAACTCAGATCATTTATTGTGACTACAGTCTGTTCTTCAATCTGCTGGATTTTAATAACTACCATCTTATTTCTGATTGGGTGCATTTTAAAATCTCTGTGTGTGATCTAGAAATTACTCTTCATACTTGGAAATAAATGCTTGTAGTACCTTGCTGTGAGAGAAGCTTGGACTTCTGGATTTGCTATCTTCTCAGCAAGCAGAATTGTGGATCTCTGACAATTGAAAACTAGGAAAAAAACTCCCAAACCCAAAACAAAACCAAAACAAACAAACAAACAACCCCCCCCCCCAAAACCCCAACCATTGCTGCCATTCAGTGTTAATTTATAAAGAACCTTGGTAGACCAAACAGCCTGAATTCCTTCCATTGCAGTGACATTTTGTGACTGTTCAAGACTTTGGGTAATT